CGTAAGAAATCTTAACTTCAGCAGTTTGGATTCACGTCATTAATATCCTCTGCCGTTTGAAGCCTGAGGAAGAAAACACACCATGATGACTTGTACCCTCCCGCCAGATCGGAGTTTCTGTTGTGTAACCCTTCTGTTACCAAACGAAGCACTGGCACGGCTTTATCAGGTGATTTAGGCACAATTTCATGAAAAACAGGTGGAATGTTTTACGTGGCTTACATCTTAGTGCTAAAAAATATCTTCTAAATGTACTTTTCGGAGTGCATACAGAAGAAAGCACCAACTGCAAGCAAAGCCACATCTCGGATGAAGAACAGACCACGCTCTGCACCAACGCCTTTCCCCACGGAAGGGCAGCAGGCGTTGTGCCTCAGAGGCCAGGCGTGCCAGTGCTCCGCTGCACAGAAGCTGTCAGAACATAAAGTGTGAGGAAATTTCTGGAAGACGAGAAACGGACAAGAGTAAGATAAAGGCACTAAAGCAAACGTTACGGCGGAGGTTTCACACAGTGCATGATGAAGAAGTATCTGGACTGATAAAAAAATTTTTCACTGTGAGGGTGGTGAGGCACTGGCACAGGTTGCCCAGAGAAGCTGTGGCTGCCCCATCCCTGGAAGTGTTCAAGGCCAGGCTGGATGAGGCTTTGGGCAACCTGGTGTAGTGGAGGGTGTCCCTGCCTGTGGCAGGGAGGTTGGGACTAGATGATCTTTAAGGTCCCTTCCAACCCAAACCATTCTATGATTCTATGAATTCCAACGGCTCAGAGCCACACCGGCATTCCGTTACTTACGTACCCCAGAGGAGAAATGCCACCTTCGGATTTTCCAGCGCTATTTCTTCCCGCAGAATTCAGACATCCTTGAAGATTTCTTCGTGCAGCTGCGGAGCCCTGCCTGTGTTTTTGCTTACCGTAGGACACTTGGTGGCCACAGGGCTGTCAGATAGGTCTCTAATGAGGCTGTGACATACAGAAACCAAATTCAACGGTAATTAAGGCAACGATAGCGCCTGGTCAGGCACTGAACAGCAGCAGATTGAGGCACAATCTTAGTTTGCACATTTTCATCTTTTATGTGGCATATTCGAAACCTCATTCTCTGCCACCGAATTCTCTTGCCCAAAATACTTCTTTTTCAGGAGCCCACGGTTTGTACGCCGTGGTAGTGGGGAGGTCAGGGCGAGCTCCTCGGCACGCCGCCGTGCTGTTACACCCTGGTCATCATCATGCCCTTCACGTTTTCAGAGCACTTTACAAACTCGAGTGAGAGCCTGAAGGTCATTGCTAAAGCAAATGAGTTTGCTGTGGTGAACAGATGCAGATGCCTCTGAACTTGATGCTGTCAACCAAACGCTGGGAAGCAAATAGCCAGAAAACACACGTAGCTGGTTGCTTTAGCTTTATTCCTGGCATCATTGCCTAGGCAGTCTGGGAGCCTTTGATATCCCTTCACAGCTCTGAGCAAATGTCTGGCCATCCTCTCCTCCTTCGTAAGCAACAGTAACTAATTTCCTTCCAGTTTGCACAACTGGATGCCTTGCACTGATGGCTCAATTTTTAATTGGGGAATGGACAGCGTGCACAGTTCTCTGCTCCCTTTCCTACAACCACAGGGAACTTTGCCTTCAAATACTCAGTAGCCATTCCTACAGACTGTACCCAGTTGAGAGCCATGGTTCAGGCTCAGTTTGTACTGAATGATCCAAAATCATCTTCTACCTCCGTAATAAAGACCTGGTGCTGACATGACCATTGCTACTACAGAAGGAATTGCTGCACAGTAGCTACCGTGTTTTAGAGACGCTCTCCCTGCCCCACACGCATCCCCACATGGTCAAGATTCACAGTTTATTATAATCCTCGTTTATAGAGTAGGACCCAGGACACAGCAAAATGCTTTGTCCAGGCTACAGGGGATTCTTCTCACCAGGCTGAACAATCTTAAAAGTCGGGAGTCTCATTTGATCCAGGGTCCTTCTGTAATCACTGGTTAAAAGATAGGGGCCTCTAGAGAAAGATTTGTCCTGTTCCAAAATAAACGGGATAATAAGCGCTGCACTCAACAGCACAGAGCCCTGTTTGAGGAGGACAGGCACCACTACGTATAAACAAGTGCCACTGGGAGATGACAGCAGTCACAGACTCCCCGTTTGATTCAGCAAATTGTTCCTATAAATCCAACCTGCCATCTTCAAAGGCCGCCTATACGCCGGTTGCCAGGGCTGTGGCAGCACGGAAAACACTCGACACACCAGCAAGGCTGACAAGAAGGGAAAATAAAAGGGAACAAATCAGGTGAAACATGACACAGAACAACAGAAGAGCTGAGATGCAAGTGTAACCTTGTTGAAAGCATATATGGAAAGATATTTGGAGAAAACAACATCTCGAAGCATAATTACCCGCTGAGTAAGCTGTGAGCTCCTCGGAGTTGTTGGAGACTTGGGTACCACTCAGCATACAAGGAATCTCGCTCCTGAACACCACTGCGATGCAAATGCCAAACCTGCTCTGCTCATCCTAATTCCCGACTGGCTGCCTGGCTCCTGGGGAAGGAGCTGTTGGCCCTGGAGACAGAGCTTCGAGCTTTTAACCAATCCAGGTTTATCTCAGGATTTATATTTGATTCCACACTCATCTAAGTAATACAGCAATTAATTGGTGATATGCCATGCACGAACACAGGAATCAGATATTTCATTCTGTATTGGACAGGAAGATGGATACTTTCTGCATTCTTCACAAATATGGTAATGAGTTTTTAAAATTTTATAAGATACTTTAATGCAATCTTTCAAGGGCCTTCCCTCACCGTGTTCAGTCGGACTTGGGCCAAAGCATAAAATGGCGTTAAACCTGTCACCCCTGCCCCCAAGAAATCTTTGTTGCAGGACCCAGGCTTCTGCTATAGCCTCTCCTTGTTTTAAAAGCCACAGAGTCACAGAATAGGTGAGTCAGACCAGACTTCAAGGTCCACGCTTCCCTTCCATCTCTGAACCAGAGAGACATTTGAAAGCATCTCAGCACCGCAACAGGCTTATGAATAAATCAAGATCTACTTTAATTTAAAACACAAGTGCAAAGGATTCACAACTACAGACGAGCAGGATCGTTTGTTTCAAATTATAAATCTTTTCAAAGCCCTGCTCTTTTGCATAAAAAAAAAGCAGTATATCTGGAATACAGAAACATTATACATCAAAAATTTTCCAGTGCAGCTAAGGAGGAGCTAAACGAATTCATTTCAGCCAACTTCATCAGCCCCAAACTTGGACATCCAGCCTAGGCAAACCACCTGCGATCGCTCTACTGGCCCCAGGCAGAGTGGTATCGAGAGACAGCAATCTCGTCCTTCAGCAGGTAGCTAATGGAGATGAATCACCCTCTGGAGGTGTTCCTCTCACCTTGGTCTACAGAGCCAACCTATATGCTTCGCAGACTGGGTGCCTGCCATTTAGATGGCTGGCATCAGTGCAGATGAATTCCATCCCAAATTACTTCAAGTAATCAACTGTGGCTTCAATTTTGAAGCAGGATCTGTAACTGGAGTAAATAGCAGAGGATAGAGATCATTAACATCTTCTGAAGAAAATGCAATTATGAGGTTAGTTTCTGAGGCAGTAGGACTGTCCCAAGAATAACTTAAATTCCAATAAATTTTTATCTGGAGTTTCAAAATAGGATCCCAGGTCCACATGTAAGATTATATTCTTGAGACCTCACAACAAGACACACCATTACTGTACAATGTTACATCCTGACCTAGAGTCCAACCACCTTGACTATCTCACTGATCAGAAAGCATATCATACAAAATATCTAAATCTATTTTAAAATAACCGAAAGAGCTGTTTAGACAACCGGTAACCTTCCGAATGCATCAGCAAAGGGATGGTGGGGAAGGGCATACCAGTAACCAAACACACAAGAGATTCTCTTCTCCCCGTGTTCTGCAGTAGCACACCGGGGAGACAGAGGCTCAACAAACTGCCCCACACGAACGCAAAATTCTCTCCTGGGAGATGCAGGACAGCTCAAAACTTCAGTCTCCTAGAGCATCTCCAAAGTGCTACCCAACAAGTGTCTCAGGGCATGTCTCAGCCTCTCTTGGGAGCAAGGACTTGGAAAGAAAGGCTCCTGGAAACCAAACAGAGGAACAAGCTTTCCCAGACTCTCCATTCCAACCAGCAATGGAGGTGTTGCATATTGTGAATTTTCAACCTCAGCACCCTGGTGGCAAGAACACCTGTCTTCACAGAGTCCGTTTCGAGGCCTGCATCCAAGGGTTTCCCCCTCCAAAAGTTTAAGATCATGAAATGGATTCGAGATTGACCACTAAACCGTACATATTCCTCAGCAAGAGAAGCACGTTGATGCAAGAGAGCCATTTAGAAACAAATATATACATATCACATCCACCCCCTAGGAAAAGATGTACAGTTTTCTAGGTCCACGTTTAACTGAAAGAAATTAAAATAATCTGTGAAAAAGTCTCAAGAGGAAAAAACGGTCAAGTCTTTGTGCATTGTTTGAGAGTTTAAAGGGGTCTGTGCCCCAAAACGTACATTTGAGTCAGCTCAAGACTCCAGTGCACAACTGAGGAGCCAAAGATCACATTTCTAATTGGGAAACAGTGTCCCAGCTCAGTAGTCAGCAGCCAAGGTTTGCAGGAACTTGCAGACATTCCGATGCGCAACTTCAGACTCCACTTTGCAACGCCGTTCTTCAGAAGGAACGATCCACAAGTCAGGAAGCACCTGCTTTGTTCTCGAGACATACTGGGTCTTACTTGGATCTAGTACGTGTTGATTGTCTTCAGCAAAAGAGAAGCCACAAAAGGCTGAGAACGCAAGGACAGTATTCACACTCGTCCTCTAAAAACATCGCTGACAAGTTCCAAGCACCATTCGCAGGACGAGACTGCCTGGTCTCTTGGTTATTTTTATTATTTTTTTTTTAATAAACATTATTTTTTCCTAGCATTTCCCCTTATGTAAAGTCAGCAGGTAGAGGTACGCTTTCTGTATTGTTGGATAAGGGGGACCAGGCACTCTGGAAGTCCTGTCTGGAGCAAAAAGGGGTGATCCAGAAGTTCTTGTGCTGTTGCTCTTTCTAGCGGATCCCGTGTCAACATCCTTTCCAAGAAGTCTCTCAGAACTGGGGAGGTCTGTGGAAAAGCAACCAAGTCAACCCCATAAAGGAATCAGACAACAGCTCATGCGACAACAGGCTGCTGAGGTAGGTTTGGTTAGAAGAAATCCTGTGCATTTCAACTTTTTAACCAGAAATTTTAACCAGCTTTTGCCCAGAAACGTCACACGAGATAACATGCTTTTTATGGTACAGCAGTAACTTTCTGTCACTGGTCAGCACAACATTTACACAGGTTGTTTCCTTTTTCATGGGCACAGCAAATTAGGACAAGACTGCCTGCCGTGACCTTCCATCTAAGTTAAATTTGTTTCTCATTTTGTTATTTAATCTTTACTGCCTTTCAGCTCAAAAATTCAACAGAATTCCTGCTACCCAAGGCACATCACTTGGGTGCGAAGGGTTGATCAAGTCACTCTTTCACTGGCCACAGATTGCGGGAAAAGTAGTAGGATTCCCAAATAGGGAATTCCCAAATAGGTTTTGAGACTCTGGAAACCTGATGCTGCTGGTACAAGAGGATGGAGAATCTGCAGAAGGGGATATCGACAAGCTAAGAGACCTCAACAGGTTTGTCCTTTACAAGATGCGTAAAAGCCAGTGGAGTAGCCAGACCCAAGAACCACTTAAAGGCACTGCACATCTCTTGCTGGTGGTAATCCTCTGCAGCAGTAAAACTGAATAAAAAATGACCTTGGTATAGACATTTATTTATTTCAGTGCTGCTAATTACATCCATTTTAGACTGAGGGCATTTTCCTAGCTCTGGTTAACTTAGAAGCAGATCATGAAATGCTGTTCATGCTGAGGTGCTGCTCACATCACGAGTGTTTGAACAACTTCGTTGTGAGTGCTAGAGGGAGAAGGCACAGCACAGCTACGGGCGAGTGCCAGGATCCAGCCTTTCTCATGCTGTCAATAACTTCAGTTATGCTTTAAGAAAGCAGCAGAGATCATCCCAGTTGGTGTCCGTTTAACCTGGTGCACCCAGTACGCCAGTAACTGACCCCAGTGAGCTATGGGCTGTAATCCGAACGGAGGGCTGAATCCACAGCTGGTGCTGAGCCCCACTCAGACAGCGGGGAGATGGGGGAGGATGGCCACCAGCCTGGCAATCCCGAGGTCTGCTGGAAGCCAGTTTGCTTCCCGGGACAAAATGGAGCAGAGTAAGAGTATGAATGGCTCTGGCTTTCACAGCCAGTAGTGGGGTTGTCTCACCAAGCAAGGTGTGTGATCCAGACCAGAACTGGCTTTACACCACCCTCAGGAGTAAAAGCACTGGGTCCAGAATGTGACCTTGAAATTTTAATTGGTGTTGCAAAGGCAAAAAGGAAAGAGCAGCTGTTGATGTTGGAGTGTACGCTGTTAGTTCAGCAGTCTACTCTGTTAAATAATTCAGTTTTAGCAGCTGCAGATACTCTGATTAATTGGAAAGGCTGGATAGCTCAGAATGCCGCAGAAGCTATTTGATCTCGGAGGCTTGGGCTGAAATTATAGGAGTGCTCTAAGTGGTGACTAAAAGGTAATCACTGAATTTCTTATGTCACTGCTACTTTTTCGTAAGAAACCATGAAGCCGAGCTCGTCTTCAAAGCAGCTGCAGTGTCTCCATGAGCTACTGTCTGCCCTGAGCTCTCTTGCTCCGACCATAACGCTGCCTTCACGGTCCTGAACACCGCGAAGCTGGAAACTCTCAAAAGCAGGGACCCTCCTGTTTGCTTCCCTAGAAGGTGAGCTACTCTACCGACACCAGTAAGATATTAACTGGTGGGTCCACCTGAAGCACATGTCATGTGCATTATCAGGTTTGTGCCCAAGTGACCTTACCTCATCAGGGCTCCTTCCCAAAGCAGCCACCAGCTGTCAGCAGCAGCTTGCATCCACTGAGGCACCAGGGCCAAAGAAGTTCCCCAAGAAACATGTCCTAGCAAGATCACTTTCACAGCCAGCTTTACCGGGAACAGCCGATACGGATGTTTCCCCATGATAATCATCTGGTTTATGAGTGTTTGCCAGTATGCTCACCCTGTGGAAGTTTTTCAGTTTGGGAGGAGGACTGTCACGGAGTCTCTTCATTGCCTGGACCGGAGAATCACTAAAATAGGGGGGTTCTCCATCCACCATCTCTATCACCATGATTCCCAGAGACCAGATATCCACCTGTGGGAGCAAACATCACATCAATACACACAGGTCAGAGCAACAGGCCCTTGTTTTGTTGCTTTCACAAAGACTACAACACCCCACCCATGAAAAACGTTACTGAGACAGTAAAACATTAACCCACTTGACGCTATCGGACTCCTTACCGCAGTTTAACAAAGACAGCTTTCCACCTAGGACTGAGCCACGCTGGTGTTGCAACATGCAAAGGTCTGCAAGTAACTGCTTGTGCTACACCTGGTTGGTTGGTAAACAAAGCTCATCAGTCTGCCCGTAATTTCAGAGCTCCCATCTGTGCCTTCCCTCCTCTCCTCCCCTCCCTTTATGGCATTGATTGATTTCCTGATCCGTACCGTGTCCCAGGCTGCTCCTTGCTAACATCTGTCCACACTACAGCAGATACAAGCCAATGCCAAGCTTCAGGTAAAAGAATAGACTAGTTTACTACTCTGGTTTTCTAGTGCTTTAGGAAATATTGATATCATCACAATCAAACCTGCAGCCACAGTTGTACTTATATTTTAAATAGACTCTAGAGGCTCTTCCTAGAAAAGCCAAGAGTTATTTTCCCATGACACTTCAGAACATTATTTGTGAGCTCCTCTGATCTTAGGGAAGTGGTCCCTTACCTCGGTCGTGTATGGTATCCTTGCAATAACTTCTGGAGCCATCCAGTAGGGAGTACCTACTAGGGACTTTCTTTTAGGTACATCTTTACTGATCTGAGCACAGAAACCAAAATCTGAGAGTTTGACCTGTACAAAAAGAAAAGCAGCCGACCTTAAAAATAATTTTTAAGCAACATGGGGGGAAACACCTAAGACAGAGAAGACAAAGGGAGTAAGAGGACAAGGTACAAACAAGAGATTGTGAACAAAAAGTAAATAAGGAGACAGACCAAGGCTACACCAGCAGGAGACAGGGAACAATCTGTCTGAGGAAACATACCCTTCCATCCAGCGTCAGAAGAATGGAGTCGCTCTTAATGTCCCGGTGAATGACCCCCTGAGAGTGAAGGTACGACAGAGCCTGCAGCACTGATTCACACACTGTTGCAATCTGCTCCTCGTTTAGCCTGAAATCAAAGACACAGGAGCTCAAGTGCATTGTACTGGGCAGTACTGGTCCCCTTCAAAGGCACAGTGCCATTCTGAAATCAAATTGCAGATACGTAGTTTGGTTCCCCATGACCGTTACTATCTTGCTTTTACTGTTCTTCTATGCCTTTTACCATTGAAAACATTTTTGTCTTGATGGTTGGCAATTTTAAGTTTTCATAAGCCTAATACAGACAAATTGCACTTTAAATCTCGTATCTAAATTCTCGTTCTGCAAGATGCTGTTTCAAGCAATTCTGACAGGCAAGGCTGCTGCTTTATGCCAAGGTGCCACAGTAACTGTTGAGACAGCTTTTTTTTAAAGCAAATATTCTAAAGCTATTGTTCACAAGGCACATTGTGCAACTTCATCCAGAAAGCATCTAAACACATAATTTGATGGAGAATACAGGGATCCTTTACAGGTCTCATGCAGCTGGACACTTCGGGTACTCTAATACCTAACTCAAGGCAGCACAGGTTACAAGCAGGGAAGACACTGCTGAATTTTACCACCCTCTCTGTTGGCACACCGAGTATGGGCACCAAGAACCTTCTCTTCTGTTGGTTTGCAACACCAACACAAGAACCGTCACGATCGAGCACAAGTGAAAATGGTGGAAATGAAAACTGCCTCCTGCAACTGGGGTCAGCGACAGCGCTCTGCACATTCACACTGTGCTAGAAGTTAAGTATTTCAAAGGACAGCAGAAGTACCCAATTTGAGTACTTTTGACTCTCAGCCTGTCTCTAGCAGTTGTTTCAAACCACTCAGTTGGAGGCATAGAAATGATAACTCCTCAAATCCAGGTCTGCAAGAAAGACCGAGGAGAAGAGAGAGCCCAGAAGGCAGAAGTGTGCAGAGCACACCAGCACCTTCTAAATACACACCAGCAATTTCTACACGTTCATGGAGGAGGTTGCACCATCAGCTGAGAATTTTCTACTTCCATTGCTTGTGTGGTATTCCATATCTGAGTCTCTCTGACCAGGACACCACATGTCCTGGCTGCCCTGTGCCACGCTGATGGCAAATGTACCTGACAGGTAGACAGCCCCTTTTGCTGGTATGATTTAACCTCTAATGGGAGAGGGACTTCTCCAATACAGAGCCTAACTTATTTAGAAACAGTGCTTTTCACTTCATAGTGCATGAGCTGCAAGAAAAGCTGATGCTCTAACAAGAGGTGTACTTCCAGCTTCTCACGTATGGAATTTGGTTTCAGCCGAGTGACTGCAGAGTGTAAACCAGATTACTAGAGATTAGCTCCCTCCTGGAGATGCAAATCAGTTATCACCTTCAGCAAATGTTTAATGAGTGGAATGAGGGCATTTTCCTCCCCGATAAAAGCTCACAGCTTACTTTTGATAAACGTTATGGTTGTAACAGATCCTGTTTCCACCATGTGGAAGAACAAGCATTCATCAACAGGTTCAAAGGAAGGCTGTGTAAAATAACTCAACTCTAGTCTGAGGTCCCACAATGGAATTCAGTCTCACTGGTGGATATAAACTACACAGACCTTTCATAAACCTCTTCGGAATACTTTTTTTTTTTTTAATTTGTAGTTCTATCGGTTTTAATACCAGCTAAGAGCTACAAGAGCTTCACTGGCTCTGCAATGCCATAACTCAGAGCTCTTCAGGACTAAATGTTCTTTTTCCTGTCCTGGAGCAGGTACATGACTTACAACGAAACCTTGGTTCTCAGAGCCCGAGCTGTGCCTCTGAACTCAATGCTGGAGGGCCTGGCCATCCAAGAGTCTCCAAGACACTCCTTACAGGTGGGGTTGCAGAGGGTACAAAGGACAGGGTGCTTTTTTTTATGCCTCCTGACCACATCACAGATGAGCTTCCAAAACAGAGGACCCAACAGAGCAAGATATGAGCCTTAAATTCCACCACAGGATCAGGAAGGGCCAGTCAAAGCACGTCAGTGAATTAAAGGCATACTAGGATTAAGGAAAGTAAACACAATCGGTGTTAGCAATACTACCTAATCATAATCCAATTAAGAATCTCAATCTTCAAAAAAGGAAAGCTCAAACCTACAGACTTTCTTGGTTGGTCTTTATTCCTGCTCCGGCTCACGGCCTCGCAGGACTGCTCGGAAGCAGGAGGAGAGTGCTCCAGGGTCACGGGTAAGACACAATCATCACGACTGCATCACCAGAACACCTTGTGAGTGGGACTCCAGAGGCCATTTGAGAACAACTTCTTTGCCCTACAGGAATGCTTTGGGCATTAATGAATATGAAGTGGTGCGGATAAGAAAACAAATTTAGGAGAGTGTCCAGTAGTTGCTATCTTTAGGCAATTAAATTTGGGAAGGAGTCCAGATCTCAAGGCTCTGCTGCACTTCTCCAGAAGAGTTAGCCACAAATCAACCTCACTAAGGTTGCACCACTGAAGACTTATTTCTGCATGCTCTTTAATACTTACTGAATAAGTTTCCTGCCCAGAATACAACAAAACAGAGTAAACAGTACTTTTCATGAGTACTGAGTTTTACAGGGAAGGTCATCAAGTAGATGAATAGTGGGCACCTAAAGGGATCGGGACTGTCAATGAGGTCCCTTCTACATCAGAAGTACTATTGCATACTTCAGATGGATGACAGTTATAAAGGGTAGCACTTTCAGGGCACTGCAAACACAAGACCTCCAAGGGAAACGATTCTTCCCAGAAATCTCCACCCTACTGCTCTTGCCCATCAGGTGGGAACACAAGCGTTGACGTTTCAGATTTTGCTTCATACCTGATCTGAGACACGATGTCTGTGAGGGCTCCCCCCTGCAGGAACTCCATCAGCACCCAGAGCTCCTCTCCCACGAGATAGCTCTTGTACATCTCCACCACGTTGACATGTTGATAGTCCCTCATTATCACCACCTGTGAAAACAGAGTTGACAATTCACCACCACAGAACTTAATCTTACCCAACGAAGCAAGCACGCACAGCCCTACAAGTACAACGTAGTAGCCTCCATCTCCCCAGTCATCTTCCTTCTTGGTACTGGCATAATTCTATTAAAAGGAAGAGACCTCCTGCTCTTCCCTTCTTCTTACCACACTAACTGTTACCATGGCTTTATAGTGGAAGGCACATCCCCACCTCTCATCACCATACTCACCTCATTAAAAAGGAGCTCCCGGCGCTGCTGCTTTCTCAGATCCATCATTTTCACTGCCACCTGCCGCCCCGAGTGCTTCTCTCGAGCAATACAGACGATACCTGTGGACCCTTCACCGATCTTTACGTAATTCTCCAGCAACGTCCGAGGATCTCCCTGGTCCACCACCATCCTAAGGGCAGCTTTGAACTGCTCGTGAGTCACAACCACCGGGTCCTCACCGGCCAGCTGCCCTTTCACAGCAGAGTCCTGGGGAAGGTGAAGGTTACTGGAACTAGTCTGAGTCTGCCGGTTCCTGGGAGACCCCGCCGGTGACGGCCTGCCTTGCGGCAGCGCAACTGCCTTCTCCACTGTCGGTGACTTCTGGGGGGTCCCAGCTTCTGAGATCATCCTGGGGAAATCGGACGCAGGCTGATCTGACGGAAGAGACTGGGCTTTGGCTGCAGGGCTGTGTGGTGAACCCCACTGCTGGGGCCTGAAGAAAGCATGAGGCTTTGAGGGAAACAAAAAGTGGAAGAGGGAAGAAGTGGTGGTTAGATTAACAAGAAGGAAGAAGTGTGAGGAGTCAGTTGCGCGTTCTGCTGCTCTGGCCCAGTACGTTTGGTAGCAGACTGGAGTCAAGAGCTCCAGGTTCTGTCTCCACGTCTGCCCAACATGCCCTGCACGGCTAGGGGAAGCTACACGGATGCAGATTTTCAAGAATCAGTTACAGGATGGGTGCTGTGCTTTAAGGACCTCCAAACTGAGGCAGTTTAAAAGGGACCTTTAAAAGCACGTGCTTTAAAAAAACAACACCAAAATCCACAGGAGAAAAAAAAAAAAAAAAAATCAGCTGCTGAAAAGCATTCCAACCTTGCCACCAAAACTCAGGGGCAACCTGTATTGCAGAGAATTTGAAAATCCTTTATCCCTCTGTGCCTCTGATCTTCCTATATATAAAAGGAAAGAGGATTCGTGCCAAAGCTGTAAATCACTTTGATGTCTTGGCCTAATTCCCTTTGGGTAATTACCCTCTGCCTACTGAAAACTCTCTCTACACTTTCCACTGGTACCTGCAGAGCATTCCCGTCCATCAGACACAGAATTAGCACTCTGATTTGGGAAAAGCACCGTGAACCAGGACAACCGTGGGTGGCCAGTGTGAGACTTGAGCTACACAGAGCCACTTGCCACCTTACTCACTCAAAACCCACCTAGGATGGATCTGGATTAGCGGTGCTCTCTTCCGAAGCACTCCAGGCTTTTGGAGACCTCCCACTCAAGTGCCAAGCACGCCCAACCCTGTTTAGTTTATGAGATCTAGCAAGATCACAGCCTGCAGTAACGTGGCTTCAGGATACACATTCCCATGCTAGCACTAGGCAGAGGTCTCCCAAAAAGGTTAAATCTTGAAGTGCTAATAATACTCACCCTGGAAACGTTGACTAATTAAAATTCAACAGCATCTAGCAGGTTAGGTATAAAATACATTATATATTTAGCAATATGTAAAATAGCAGTGGATCTGACAGAGTATTAACTTCAGAAAGAGCAAGCCAATCTTTTATATTATAGGGTAAAATAAAAACTTCAAAGCAACAAGCTTTTTCTCTCTCGCAATTCAGACAGATAATTAATAAAGTGAATAATATGGGTATGGGAACTGAAAACTGCCAATAGAGAAATTTTTAAAAGAGCACTCATTGTCTCAGACTGAAAACAACCGTATAGAATTTAATTCTACGGAATTAAGTTTTAAATCAAGGATTTTTGTCAACAGTAAGATCTGCATAAGCCTAACACACATACAGCTCATCTTCACACACGCACAGGCAGTTATGATTTAGCAGCTCCTGGCATCGGGGTGCAGGGGTGCACACACACCAACTGCCCATCACAAGTTACTTCCTCCTCATTCACCAGCTCCACCCCTGCCATCCTGTAGAGACACGCTCACGGCAACGAGGTATTTATTTCCCAACTCTTGTTTTGTCTCAGGAAAGGGAAAAAAAAAAAAAGTTTTATATAACTTAGAGCACGCAAAAGGGCACACAACATGCATGCAAGCTCACACATGTTTGTCTAACCACACATGAGTATTATTTCCTGCTCCTGTAATTTGACAGCCCCTGTATCCACGTTTTCAGTCTCTGGACATTTTTGAGATGTCACTGGTTCTGCCACTCTCTCCTCTCGTATTAGGTCGAAAGAAAGTGCGCTTGACCTTCCCATAGTGACCACGGCAGCCTGTCAAGGCACCCACCTCCTCATTTTCAGCCAGTCACATTCCCTGTCCATTTCATCTGCAATTATGTGTTTCTTACACGTCACAACTACACATCATCATCTCCATTTGTGAGGGAGATGAAGGTTTTAATCACTGGAGGCCGTTAAGAACGGCTCAGATAAACAACTGCCAGCGATGGCGCAGGTCCTTCACTGGAGCAGGGAGATGGAATAGATAACCTCAGGGTCTTTTCTACTCCTCTCCTCGCACAAGCAGCTGGAGCTCAAACACACCCAAGCACATCCATGCACACGCCACCGATCAGCAACCTCTGCTCCGCGTGAAAGCGCGGAGGCATGGCCAAGGCAGTCCTGCTAGAGAAGAAACAAGTGGTCAGTTCTCCTAAGTACTCAGGGACAGCCAGTATAGACCAGCCCAGAGTCAGAGACAGCAAGAAGTGTCGTTTGTGCTACACAAGTAGCACATTCCTTTACAATTCCACTCTCTGGGAAGGGGAATCTGCAGGGAGAAGGCTGTGTCTGAAAGCCTGGAGCCTGATCCTTATGCAAACTGCAAGAAGCCAGGCTGGCAAGAGCCCAACCCCACAACACACTTCAGAACAGCCAGTTTTGTTGGGCCAGTGGTTCCAGTCATCTTCCTCTGAGTTCGGGGACTCCACACCTGCTAAAAACGAGCCTGGGCTACCACCAGCCCAGCAGAGCCTCGGAAACCACCAAACAGCCGTGCAAGGACAGCGAGCGCTGCGTTAGCCTGGGATCAGTCAGCAGCAGTGGCCTGGAAGGGCTACATTTCCTCTCCAGTAACAGGAACCAGGGTTTTTCTCCTCGTTTAATAAGTGAGTCATTCATTCAGGATAGTTTTCCTGGGGGAGATGCAGCTATGAGCTGTCCCACCCTCACCCAAAACCCAGCGGCCAGATTTCCTGTTCGACAGTACCGCGGGTGCCGATGCAAACGTTCCTGTTGTAGGCAGTTTGGCAGATACAGCTATAACCAATAAGCTCTTTTGCCTTTTTGCACAGGCAAAAGAATACATTACTAATGTAAATTGTGGCAATTTCCCAAATGGCAAAAGCTCGTTCACGCTAGTATAACGGCGTTTAAGTTAAGCCTTTACTACTACAGAAGGGCAAAGATGAGTAAGTCTCCTACCTCCTTCCCAGCCTACACTCCTGCAAGCACAGCTCCACGGACAAGCCTTTCTCATGGAGATCTGGCTGCCATTTCGAGCTATGCCTAGTGGTATATGCCGTGAAGCTTAGGAGGACTACATGTCTCCCCTGTCCAGGACTATTTTGATTCCAGCATCAATCATAACAACAACAGATGGTTGCACGATGTTTGCAATTAAATTGGTTCGGCTGTGTAAGTAACCTCTGGAACTGCAAAGTCAACACTGCACTCGCTCAAAAATACTGAATAACTACACCTTTATCTGCAGGGAAGGGCCTGACTTGTTCGGGCCGCTGGATGACGGGAACACGCTCCGTAACAGCCTCCTCTTCAAGCTGTTCTCCCTTGATTTGGAGCTAGGGCTGCCCTCCCCTGAGGGTCTGGTGGAGTTCACCTGTCGTACGAGACAAGGCTGAGGCCAGCACTCTTCCGAGCTCTTTTTTCCCATCTTCTCGCTCTCTCCTGGCAGAGCTGGCATGTGCTGCAAGCCAGAGGCACGCTGGAGGCAGCTGCCATCAGCACCCTGGAACTCCGAAGGCCCGAGGGACTGTGCTTTCATTACCATACCGTTGGGATGAGACTGTCCTTCCAACCGGGGTTTATAATCCGGCCACATAGTCTGCCGCCGGGTCACCTTGGTCCCACCGTTGCAATTGAGGTAGTTTCCGTATTTGTCTGCCCAGTCTGCTTCAGGGCTCTGAAGATACATGTCTGGGGGTCTGTCTTCGCCCAGGAGCCCCAGGGACTGAGCTCTCCTCCTGCTGGTGGGGCTTCTCCCCCTCAGAGTGTTCGAACTGATGGCAGAAAGCTTCTGGATATCGTTGAGTATCCCGGAGATATAGCCTTCCACTTCCACAGTGCTGCCTCTCACCACCGTCTGCGAAACATAACGGAGGGGGAAAGTTAGAGTTGTAAAAATTAAGGCTCAGTTTATCTTGACAAAGGTTAGATTTTGTCTGTCTAGCCAAAGATTACTCAGGGTATCTAGGAAAAAAAAAAAAAAACAAAAAAAACAACAAACCAGAAATGTTTCTGTCTTTTTTTTTTATCGTCCTTCACTGAAGGCAAAAAAAAAATAAATCATTGGGTTACGTCCTTCTGTCAGAGGCAGCAGTGCTTTCAGCCAGAACAGTGACTTCTGCTGCTGGACTTACATTCCAAAGGACAACATTAGAGCAAAACCAGGATGTTTTAGCATTCCTGACTCTCCTGTGCTGAAATTGTGCTTCACTACACCACTAACTCAGGCTCAACAAGCTCCTGAAAGTGTTAGTTCTCAAAAGTTAGAGCATGTCCTAAACTATGTCTGCAAAAATCACCTTGCTATTCCAACTTGAGGCTCATCTCCCCTGTACCACTCTCAATAGTGTTGTAATCAGCCTCCTTTAGTCTGGTTCTCTGCAATTTTTGCTAATGCATCTTAATCCTGACCAGTGAAGACTACACTGTTCCAGCACTGCATCCCTCCTCTGTTCTGCCAAGCTATTATAATTAAAAACGATGAACAAAGGGTCACAACAGCTCACAACTGCCTCGTAAGCAAACGATGAAGAACAAGGCTTCCATCCAAACAAGCAACTGCACTATACAAGTAAGACACTTGAAGCTGTCGGTATATTATGTAGTGCTCTACCTTGTTTATTCTGGAACTGAAAAGCTTACAGAAGCTTTTTGAGTGCTGGAACCAAAATGTTTCATTTCTTCACAGAAATTCACAGCATAGGATTGCTCCTACACTTTCATGAATCTCTGCCTGAGGAAAATCCTTCCCTGGAGTGATGGCAATCTCCTGTTTGCTAACAGAACTCCAGGGATCTTCTAAAGATGCTGAATTAATTACACTGAGCCTAATATTTCGCTGGTGCAAAACAGCAGCTCCAGTAATTTCAACAGAATGCCACCACCATGCACACAACGAGCACCCGGTTAGCTCGGCGTCTGAGAAGGAAACGTAGAATAGAAGATTTTGTCAAACAAGGCGAAGAAAGCGCCATCTGACTCATACCATTGCATACACAACATCACCTGCAGCAGGAAACTCTGCTCTTCAGTCCCGTTGCAGCAATACATCTCCCACACCACATCCATGCTCCTTCCCCCACGGCCCCGGCTGCTGTCAAGCAACCAGCATGCCGGGGACAGCAACTCCTACAACTGTTTCCATCACTTCTGCACCAAACTCGATAGGGAAAAAGATACCGAAAGCAAATGGCCAGAAACCCAGTCTCTGAAATCTGTCAGTGGAGTGGGAAGAGTCTTCTTCAGTCCATTCTAATTCACCCATCACAAATGTAGGCTGTATCCGTTTACAGTCACGCGCCCAATTAAGAGCACCAGTTCACAAATGAGTCTGAGCAGGGACAGATGAAACATGCACACCCCCACGCCACAGAGAACCCAGCAGGATGCCTCCACGCTCTTGCTCATGCTTGCACAGGCAGATGGGAGGGGAAGAGGCCCTCCTCCAACGCTCACTGATGGTTCAATGTTTCTACAAACTGGGAAAAAGAACAACTCAAAATAAAGTGGGAAGAAACCTCAAGAGGCCAGCTAGTCCAAAGTAGATGGACAAAAGTCAGTCCAGAAAGACTTGTTTCTAACACGTTCTCAAAATAAGAAGTCTCCAAGAACAGATGCTGTGGCCCCTCTAGAAAATCCATTTCAGTGCTCGCCTCACCTCTCAGTTAAAAGCTTCCTAAAATTAGATTCAAGTCACTCCTGTTGCACTTCTAGACCATTAAATTGGTCCTATCCCAGTAGGCAGAGAGGGTGGGACTTTGCTGTACTTTGCAAATATGTTTAAAGTCTGCATCAGATTAATGAAGAAACATCCAAATTTGAGCCAAATCTATATGGAGTGCTCTTACAAAGATCATACCTTACTGGCCAAAATTTCGAAATTATAATTTTAAAGAGAAAAAGAGACCCATTACAAGCTACACACAGTACCTGTTCAGGAAAAACTGTGATAGTTGAACCCAGGACTCTAGGTAAAAGGCTCAGCCTAAGAGGGCCAATTGGCATTTAAAAAAATAATTAAAAAAAAAAATCTTACTATTGATTGGCATCATTGGTATCTGCTCAAACGAAGTTTACCAGAAATAATCAACTATGTGATGCAGTCTAAGAGAGTATTTGCACCTGGACTTCCAGGGGCAAAAATAACAGTATTAGTTTAAAATTCTTTTGGAGTTTTTCAAGACTTGGGTATTCTATCCTTGTTCTTTTAAAGGTTTGCACCTCCTTTCAGCTTTTACCATCTACAGGTTTAATAAAGTCCCAGACGAAAGTACTGCTCAGTACCAGAGTCAGGACAAACTCCAGCATCTCTCCATGCACGTTTCTGTTTTGACAGTGATGCCTCACACTGTTCTTTTGAGTATGCTTTTCCTAATACTTGAGAAAACTTGCTCCGTTTGCTCTGGGAATGCCACAGGTGCAGAGTCAAGAACCCAGTGAAGTCAAGATGTAGGAGAGAGCGGTCATCTCTCCCGGACCCAAAGCCTGATACCCTGTGATTGATGGAAACTGGGCTGCCTGACACGATTTGCTCTTGATAAATCCATGCTGGCTGCTAGCTCTTACCCTGCTATCTCCTAGAAAGTGGCTGCAAATAGATTACTTGCTTATTTGTTCCAGCCTCTTTCTGGGAACTGAAATTATTCCGACTGATCTGCAATTCCTTGAATTTCATTAGGCCCAGCTGACTTGAAAATATGTAACTTATCTAACAAGTCTCATTTCTGTTCATGTTCTTTCCTTATTCTAGCCTGCGCTCTCATCCCTTCGTGCCCCTGTTAATTGTGTTAGCCCACTGATCACAGTTAACCCTTTCAACAAAGACTGAAGAAAAATCATTAAACATTTAAGCATCCTCAGTGTCATCTGTTATTAACTTTCTTCCAAAACGAGCAAGTGAACAAATTCTTTCCTTCATCCTCCTTCTCCTCCTCAGCGTACTTATGATGTCTCCTTAGTGCCCTTTCTGTTCTTTGAGAATAACATGTCTTTTTCTGCCTTGGCCTTCCAGTTTTGTTCCTACATAAATTTCTTTTCTGTTTGCCCTTTGTAACTTGACCCAGTTTCCACCCTTCTGAGCAATCCTCCTGCCGTTTAAGCTCATTAGAGAGCTCCTGATCTAACCAAGTTGGTCTCTTATTACACATTTTATCTCTTCTCTGGATTGTGGTCCTATCTCCTACTACATTTTGAACCTCAAAGCACATTCAGGACACCAGAAAACAGAAGGCAATACCCCCTCCCTTTTTCTTTTACCTGTTCTTCCTGAGCAAGTTTCTCCTTTCTAAATCAGCATCTGCTCACAGATCCTGAGGTGCCATTTAAATGGCAGGTTTGATTTTGCATCAATACTTGCATTATACTAAAATGGAGTCCCATTCAGTCCCCAGTTTGAAGCACCTGTGCACGAAAAGCTAAATGCATTCATCGATGATTCCATCGGAGAGACAAATGTTTTCTTTTATGTCCCTCCTAAAACCCAAGTAGTAACATCTCTATTTTACAACTTACCTTTCAGTTTTTAGGCCCCTGTAGGTTTTTTTTAACTGGAAACAAAACCTTCCCACAAGCTAGCAAGACTCTAAACACAATAATTCTGTCACCATCTTTCACTTCTTTTTCCAAGTCACCACGACTCTGCCTCTCTTCACACAGCAGGTCCCTGCAGTCGCTTACGAACACACAGTCTCCAGATGCCATTATCTACAGCCATCCAAGCAGGACAGCCACCTAAATGCACCCATCTACTAGGATCAGTAACTTATTTCTCCTTACTGAGGGGACATTCTCCTCTCTACTAGTCCCACTTTTTGTTCCAACTGCTGCTTCATAAATCCTTTCAGCCTAAACCCTAGTTTGGTCCTGCTGCCTGTTGTCTCTCATTCACTTGGCCATCCATGAGCAGCAAGCTCATGCTACCCCCGCTCTCTCCCACTCAGGCTTCCCTGTCAACTTAATTACCAGCCAAATTTGCTCACCCACGAGAACGACAAACTTGCTAAAACAGGTCTCTCCACAAATTCTCCTCTTCTCTTCCCTGTACGACAGCTGAACGCATCCCAGGCCCTACCAGCTACCGTGGGAGCTCTGGCAGGTCCTCGTCACAGTGACTGGCAGCCAGCTGGTTGTATGAACAGTGACACTACTGCAGTTAAGGACACGACTGTCCTCGTTCCTGACGAGGTTACTATCGCCTCAAAAGGTGACAGTGTTATCAAAGCCCAGACCCTGCTATCCGTTGAACTCCTTACAGACCCCACCTGCAGCCCTAAATATACATGGGGCAAGGGAAACATTGCCTCAACTCGGGCTCCCCAAGGAGCAGCAAAGCCCAGGGGACAGGAGAGAGCAGTCTCCCTCTCTTACCTTCATAGGCTGGAGTTGCATCCTCGTGATCCTTGAAGGGTCTACCACTGGCTTGGGGCGCCTCAGCGTGTCTAGAATGTTCTGCCATTGGGGCGGCAGGCCCACAAATTTGCCCTCCTTTGGGTCAAACGAAGTGTGGACACGGTGCTCGAAGTTCTGCGGAGCCGAGATCTCCGGGCGTTTCTTCTTCTTCTTGCGGAACATGATGCCTGAACCACAGAAAGCAACAGAAAGCTGTCAGTGCTCTTGCAATACGATACGCCCAATCCATAATATGACTATCAATTAGTTAATTACATCGTATTAAGAACATTCTCCAGTGACAACCACTTTTAACAACAGATTTGATCACCTGCTTTTACAGATGAGGAAGCAGAGGCAACAAGAGAGCAATGACTTCCTCAGGACCACCTAGCAGGTCGGTGGCTGAGCTAGGATTTCCAGTGACCTTTTTGGTGCTCTGCCCACTCTGAAACAGTGCTCCTACTTCAGAAAAGAAACAGGCACCTGTTACTTCTATAGCTGAACTCCTACCACTTGGCTCCCTTTATTTCTACAAATTCATATTGCCTGATATAAATGTTGTAAATATATATGAGACACATATTTATATTTCACAGGCTTGTACCTAGGTTAAATGGCGTTGGAGCCCAGCCAGTTAGACAGTGTTGATTCCACTACAAGCCTGGAATGAAGGGTGGTGGTTATGAAACAGGGCTCAGGTTGTCTTCTCACTGGTTCCTCCAAGTAACATACATCTGATTCCTATTTAAATGACAGAGCTGTTGCCAAAGGAAGAGCTGCCCAAGACTCATTTTGGATCTCAGTTTTTCTCGCTTAGACAGAGGGCTCGGGAGAGAGCGAGGAGGTGGTAGGTGGAAATCAAACTCTGTCAGCAGGTAGCTGAAGAAGCTAAAATTAAAAACTAAGATTCCTTTCCCTTGGGGGCTGAGAGAGACAGTTTGTGTGAACAGGCATTACAATTGCAACAAGCCAAAACCAGCTAACACCTAAATATACCCGAACACAAGAGATGTTCAAATTCTGAATTTAGACTTCACGGTCAAAAAAAAAAAAAAAAGATATATAGAAGATATATAGATAGATAGAAAGCCCAAAGTTTTAGCCCTTTTTGAAACTGGGAAGATACAAAGAAAAAGGAAGAACCGGAGCTTCCCCTGTGGTCGCAGAGGTGGGAAAGCTTGAATAACTGGAGGACTGCAATGGATGGACACAACCTCTTCACAAAAGACAGACGGGGAAGTTGCCCTTTCCATGAAGAAACAGCTCAGAGGTAGGGAGATTTTCTATGGAGAGCAAGGCTTTTCACACTGTAGAGTAGTGGAAGTCTGAGACGACAGACAAAAATCAGAACAGGACAGGTCTCATCTGGATAGAAGGAAAAATATTTTCATGACCAGGAGAGCCCAGCATTGGAGCAGGTTGCCCAGACAGGCTGTGCAGTGTCCGTCCTCAGAGGTTTTCAAAAGCAACTCTGCTCTGGAAGACAAAGCCCTGTGCAACCTGGTCTGACCCTGAGAGTGGACTCTGCTTTCAGCAGGGGTTTGGACTACAGATCTCTTGAGGTCCCTTCTCCCCTGAATTGTTCTATGATTGGTTTGATGGCTTTAAAGCTACAAGTATTCCAAGTTACATTTTCCTATTTGCTGCTGGAGAAATGTGTTTAATGAGCAGATTACTCATTGTTGTGGGGATGCACAGGACGAACTGTGCAACGAGAGCTGTAAGAGAGATGAGACAAAGCTGAGACCCGATGCCAAAACTTTTTAGCTAGTTCAGTGCTAAAGCTCTCCAATTTGGGAAAAAGTTGAACAGGTTTCTTTAGGCAATTTATATCCACCAGTAGAATAAAAAAGTGTTTATATGCTCTTCCTTTTCCACTGACAACTTTAATACTAGCATTTGTCTCTCAATAATATTGCTTAAAGTGATGAAGACTCCCTCTTCCTTGACACCAGGTAGAGGATTTTTGCCACTCAATCTTCAGCTTTGTAGTGACTGCTGTACAGGACCTCAGCTTCAACTATTTGTGCTGAACAAATATTTACAAGGGTCAGAGACACAGAACACATACAGAGATAACAAGTTGTGGTGTAGACCTGAACATACTTCTAGAGGACATTGGTCTCGAAAATCAGCACACCTCGTGCTTTTTTTCCTCCCCACAGTCAAATATTTTCCATGTTGTTCCACTTAAAACTTGTTTAGGAAGCAAAGTGCAGCCATCAGGTGAGCAACGACTTTGCTTCCTAGTGCTAGACCGAGATCCTGAAAACACATACATACTTAAAATTTGGTTACCACAATCCTGTAGCCACTGGGATGGGAAGTATTTGTATGTCACAGAAAGACCTTTATACCATCTAAACCCCCAATCACGCAATCCATCCTCCATGAAACACAGACTTCACACACCCGCCTGGATGTGTTCTTGTGTGATCTGATCTAGGTGGTCCTGCTCCAGCAGGGGGATTGGACTAGATGATCCTTTGAGCTCCCTTCCAAACCCTGACATTCTGGAATTCTGTGACAATACCCATTGCAATACTGTGTCCAGAAGCCTACTAAAGATACTTTACAGTTGAAAAAGAAAGCAAAAAGGTTAGGCAACTGAAAAAAAACCACTTACAAAAGAGGCTAGAAGCAACTGCTCTGCCTAGAACAAGTTTTGCAGCCAGAATAATCTTTGCTTAGAACGTGTTCCAGTGAAAACCCAAACAGATCTTAATGGAGAGCTTATGAGAAGAGCATCTGTGCTCCAGGTCTGTATTGCAACTACTCAAACATAGTCATTCACCACTAAGGCCCCTTAGGTGCTGCGTATTAACAAATAATCAAGACTAAAATCATAGGGCAACTCTTTAAGGAAAAAAAAAAGGTACAGATGATCCTGGAAAGGAAGGATCTTGTAATAGCTTATGGTGTTAGTACTATTCAAACCAACAGCTGGTGCTACTGAGGAGCTTTCACAGCCTCCAAGGAAGGCAGGAAGTATATCTGTAGTATTATATCAACTGCTTCAGTTCTGAATCGTTGACTACATGTCAGTCATGACAGCTACTTGATCTACCAGAACAGGGGCATTTCCAGAGTGATATTACTATTTTAACCAGTATCTTTCCTTCTCCTGTTCCTACTCTCACAGCTTCACTCCTCATCTCATCTTCATAATGAGTAGATATTCAGGGCACAGCACACAGCGTCTTTCAAGTCTGCTCTTTAACTGCTTCAGGTGGAAAGGGGTCCTGTAAAATGTGGTCTGACAAATGCCACAACCATTAGCACCTGTAGTATCAATCATTTTCTGAACACTTCAATCATTTCCCCGTAAGGAGAATGATTCTAGCTAAACCACTTCAAAATGCAAATTTTCAAAGCCCAGGTGATATTTTGGCCCCAAATAGAACAGTGGCTTTATGCCAGCATATCAGTTTGCATAAGCATAAACACCACATTTGTATATTTACATTAAATCACTATACCTGCCAACCAACCCCTGGACTACTCTTAGGTCCTATATAAAAAAGCATGCTTCCTAAAGCCAGAAAAAAAGCATCTACTAAGTTCACGGTCAATTTTAGGGTGACTAGCTGACATGGCCTGCATCTACCTTATCAGTTTATAATAGGCATCTTAAAAACCACAAAATGTAATCAACTCCAAATATAACCTACCCCTGGGTATCCAATGACATTTGCTTTATATGGTCAGAATCAATCTCTGATTATAAAGACATTGCCATATCAGACAGGTGGTTTAAAGGTACACTGCATTAAGATCAAACAAAATTCAGACACTAAAAATAGTTATTTGAAATCCAAGGGATTGTAATAATCTGTACAGGTTTTGCATTTCATTCAGAAGGTCTGTATTTAACCATGCAAGAGCTGTTTATTCGTATTTCCAATAGCCAGCTAAAGAATGTTCAAATAAAATACATAAAACAGGCCTTTTCTAATTCAGCAAGAAATTCATAAGAATATTTTATACATATAAGATTCTGTAAATCAAGCCAAACCTGTATTTAACCGTAGCCAGCATCCCTTTAATAGAATAACACAAATACTGTGACACCGATTTTTATAATAATCTACTAGACTTTAGTCTCATTTGCTGCTGACAACTGTACTGTAAGAAATGTCACAAACATAAATAATAAAAGTCACTACCACGAGACAAAAGCAGTCGGAGATTGAAATTCTCTCAGCGATCCATTCCTGTTTTTTTGCCTGGGAAACCACGTTAGGTTTTTCAACTCCAGATATAGCTGTTCCTAGATGCTACAGTTCCAAAAGCTGTCACATCTGCCAGCGAGCACGAGAAAAAAATCCCACAGCCAGCAGATCCAGAGCAGGGGGAGGGATCGGCTGGGAAGGAGGGGCGAGAAGAGAGAAGGGTCAGGCTCAGATGAGAGGAAGGGGTGGGAAGATTAAGGATGGGGTGGGAAGATTAAGGATGGGGTGGGAAGATTAAGGATGGGGTGGGAAGATTAAGGATGGGAGACAGAAAGGGGAATGAGAGTTAGGAAGGGAGAGGGGAATGGCTGGGAGACAGGCAACCAAGGAGCAGGGCTCAGAAGAGAATCAACCCCACTGGAAAAAAAGCAGTAGATAAACGTTATCAGGAATTGCTCATTACACCACACGAGTCCAAACAGTCAGACAAAGCAGCCAGCACGCACCGTCCTTTAATCCCTCTCGCCTCCACCCTGCACACACAATTACCTGCTCCATCAGTATATATGCACTGCACTTAACCATGTCCATACGCTCGATGACAGCAGACAGCAGAGAGCCACTTCAGCCTGGCTTCTAGAGTTCCCAGTTAAAAATAAGCCTTCCCTCCCCCTCCTTGCTGCAGCAACCGGACTCGCTCATGGGTGCTTATTGCACTGCTAGCGCCGAGCTGGACGCAGCTCCCTGCGTTCCTCCCACCCCAACAGGAGATAACGCTCGGTCCCTGGGCTGGAAAACGCAATTCCTGTGATTTTTAGGTACTGCCTCAGCTGATGTGCCAAACTACTCCGGTCAGCGACACAAGGAAGGGCGGAGGAGGAGGAGAACTCTTCCTACAGGACCCAAGAACTGCAATATTGATGGAGTCTGGAGTCCAGAAGATGAAGATGATGTCAGAGGACCCACCAATTAAAAGGAAAAATATATTTCCATATTCACTGTCATGTA